GGAGCAACACTTATTCTTTGCTGTTTTTCTAATAATAGTCATTCTTTGTGTATATTTTTGATAGTAATACTTTGTCATGTGTGTACCTATTCACTATCTTCTCCTAGGTTTTAACCTGTCTTCACATGTACCTTAAGGGTTTTTTTCCCCAAGTAGTTGTATAGAAGTATAACTTACATAAAATAAAATTCAGTTTTGTTAGGTATATAATCCTATGAACTTTGTGAGCTCATGCAGTGTGTAACTACCACCATAATCAAGATATAGAATATCTCCATCATTTCTCATTTCAAGAGAAAAAGTTCTCTGGTACCTTTTTTGGTTAGTCCTGTCCTCCTAAGGTCGGCCTGTGGTAACAAGTAATCTTTATTATGTCCCTGGAGTTCACATTTTCTAGAATGTCACATAAATTAAATCATAAAATATGGAACTTTTTGAGATTGGCTTCTTTTACTTAACATGATGCATTTGAGATGCCTCAAACTTGCTACATGTATCAGTAGATCATTTCTTTTTACTGGTTAATAGTATTTTATTGTATTACTACAGTTTATTTATCAACTCACCTGTTGATAGACAGTTAGCAATTATGAATAAATGTGGTATAAATATTCACATGTAGGCTTTTGTGTGGACATATATTTCATTTTCTTGGGGAAATACCTAATAGTGGCATTACTAGGCCACTTTTATTTTTTTTAAGCTCATCTGATAGGTGTGTAGTGATATCTCACTGTTTGGGGGTTTTTTTCCCCATTGTGGCTTTAATTTGCATTACCCTAATGGCTAATGATGTTGAACATCTTTTCAAGTGCTTATTTGCCACTTGAATATCTACTTCAGTGAAATGTCTTTTGGCCATGTTCTAGTTGAGTTGCTTGGATCTTTACTGCTGAGTTCTGAGAGTTATTCATATTTTCTACAACTGGTTCTTTGTCATACATGTGGCTCATTCCACTCTTCATCCTCTTTCACAGAGTGAAGTTTTTAATTTTGATGAAGTCCATTTTATCAATTTTTCCTTTTATGGGCCATGCTTTTAGCATCAAACCTAAGAACTGTTTGCTTAGCCCTAGATCTCAAAGAGTTTCTCCTGTTTTTATTTTAGAATAATCTATATCTACTAAAAATGTTGCTGAGATTTTGATAGAAATTGCATTTAACCAATATATTAATCTGGGAAAATTTGCGTATTTACTATGTTGGGTCTTCCAGTCCACGAACACGATGTCTCCCCAGTTATTTAGATCTGTGATTTCTTTCATCAGCGCTGCAGAGTTTTCAGCATGCAAGTCCTGTGCGCGGTTTGCTGTAGTTTTTAAAATGTACCTGTGTGCGCCTAGACCATCTCACATGAGTCTGGTAACTGCGGCGGGGCCAGGAGAGGCGCCAAGTGGGACTGCTGGGAAGCGTGGGACTGGTTTGGGAGGGAAATTTACTTATATATGTATACTTTTACTGTATACTCTTTTGTATATTTTGAGTTTCATATCATGTGAGGGGATTAACTCTTCAAAATGCAAGTAAAATAATTTTTAAATGCTTAGATAAGACTCTCAAGAGAGAAATAGAGACAGAGATAGAATGAGTATTTGAGTCTTCTTCGTTCCCTGAGCACACACTGAACAATCTAGAAACACAGGAGTGGAAGTTTGATTTTGTACTTCTCCAGGAATACACACTGACAGAATCAAAGAATTTCAAGGAGAAAAAGTGTTAGAGGTTCCCTAGCCTGGCTTTTATTGTGTGGCAGAGGGGAGAACCACCTGAGAATAAACACTTGCTGAGAATGCTGTAAAAACTTCCCAGGCAGACATTAAGACACGAATGCCAGGGGAGCAGTTGGGGAGCTGGTGCGCAACCCAGGCGTTCCTTCCTGTCATCAACCTGACATGCTGTGACTTCCTCTTGTCCTTGGTGGGCGCCCTCTCTGCCCACTGCCTACCTCTCCAACCCAGGCCTCATTCAGAGGTAGCCAGTAGTTGTCCGGCCTTCTGGAATCTGGAGGCAGAGCCCAAGGTGCTCAGCAGCCTGTCCCCAGCCTCCGGCCATCTGTGACGGAGAGCCACTCTTCCTGCAGCCTTTGGGATATCAGGTATCTTGATCCCTGTTTCTCCCCAGAGCATCAGGTGTCCTTCTTGGAACTTTTCATCCCTGCCTGGGTCAGGTGGAGAGTCTGTCTCCTGGGTTGGAAGTCTCACTTGTCATTTAGCCAGCAGCCTCCAACCTTTTTGGCACCAGGGACCAGTGCTGGGGAAGGCAGGGGGGAAAGGTGGGGAGGCGGTTAAGGTTTCAGGCAAGCTGCTCTTGAGGCCGGTTCCTAACAGGCCAGGGCTGTACCAGTCCGCGGCCCAGGGCTGGGGACCCCTGATTTAGCCCAGGAAAGCATTGGTGATGATGGTAGTCTCGCTCCTCTTTAAGGTTCTCTTTCCGTCTGTCTTTATATTCATCTATCTGTCTTCAAATCACAGCTCTCATTTGATCCTCACAGCAACCCCAAAGGACAGCTCTGACCCCCAATTTTCAAATGCCAGTAAAATATATGTACAAAGAACTGTTTTTCAAGTACTTTCCCATACATTATCTCATCGCAGTCCCCCAATACCCTCATCGGCAAGGAAAGTTTTATTAACCCAGACATACTGAGGAGGGTATTGAAGAGGCGACTGCAGAATAGTGGGCCTTTGGAGATAAGAGCGCATGGGATTGAATCCTGACTCAGTGGATTCTTTACACCTGTTTCCTTCTGGTGTAAACTGGGGGCAATAATCTCAATATTCTTTGTCATCCTACTCGATTGCGATTCAGATTAAATGGCTATGCAAGAATTAGCATTCTAATGATTTCTCAACCTGTCCTATCCCTTAAAATTTATTTTTATTTTGAAAATGTTTTACAAAAGAGGAGATAATAGTATAATGAACCTGATATATCCATTACTCTCTTCAACAATTATCAGTCCAAGGCCAATCTTGCCTCAGCTATACCCCTACCTATTCCTTTTGCTTTATTCACCAGTTTTCAAAACAATGAAGTATTTCCCTAACATCTCCAAAAGGTGACTCGTGGGTTGTTTGGAGCTTTAAAAAAATTATTAGGGATTTGTAAGACTTAAACACATTTGTTATGCTTCATTCTCTTACACTGGTGATCCTCAGTGATGCTCAGCTTCGCCAGGGGAGCCTTCTTCTGGCTGGCTTCTGAGTCCTCTCGGCATGACTCTAGTAGTCTTTGACACTTTGTTTGCTTCTTTGGTGTGACAAGATGTCCTAGGCTCATCGTGTGCATTTGCTGCATCAGACCTTTCTCCAAGGAAGCCTAATTTCTTTGTGGGAGGTGGTAATTAGAATTCATAATCTGATTGGTAGGGGTGTTCATTTCTACTAGAATGATCCTTATTTCTAGGCCTTACAGTGAACAGAGCTGGGAAGTGCGAATGCGCACGCATGTGTATGTGTGTGTGTGTGTATCTGTGTGTGTAGGAAAGATAAAAGATACTATACTTTCAGTTAACAATCAGGGCTACAGAATTTTTGCCTGATCTCATCAATCTTATACTTGTGTCTCCTTTCAACAAGGAACTCTTAAGTCTCAGCAACATAACTATTATTACTCATTTGATTTATCCCAGAATCTTATACAAAAATCTCAGAATAATGATAAGAATAACAATAATAATAATAATAATAATAATAATAAATACCAAGATCATATTATCAATAGATGATTGAAAACAGTTTAGGATTGGGGGGGCAGTTCTTTTTATCCATATGCTATTTTCCTCTAAGGATATGCAGTCCAGCTACTGTGTTTTAATTTCTCTCTCTATAGCTTTGCCAGCCAGTTGAACACGTAGACTCATATGTTGCATTTTATTTTTATTTCAGAGATTTCTTTTAAAATATTGTGCTTTATATTTTGTCAGATACTTATATATTCCAGAGCAGATCCACAAAACGAGGCATTTTCAAAGTCCAGCATCTCTCCCTGTCCCTCCCGCCTCATTCCTCCCTGCCCTGTAGGCCTTTGAAATTTTATTTTTTGCTTTATCTTTTATTGTATTTTAAAAGAATATAAGCAAATACATGTGTATGTTTTGTTCCTCTCCTTTTCTTATTAAACACATTTTTTCCTTTTTTTTTTTAACTTCCCAACAATCCTGAAACTCACAGCATAGTCATATAGGATATATTTCAAATGGATTCCTAGAACTGGGATTTCTGGGTCAAAGAGTAAGTGCATACTTATTTTGATAGATAATGTCACATTTGCCTCTACACAGGTGGATTTTTACCATTTCCTACAGATACATTTTAATGTTAAATAATTAAATGAGATATGTTATCTGTACTGAGAAAAGTTAAATGATTTCCCAGAAGGACCGGAGCTGGGACTTGAACCTGCAGAATCCTCTCTAAAGGCCCTGTGGTCTGACCCACCCTCCTGTTCCCTCTTCCCATTTACAGATAGAGAACCTGAGACAGGTGTAGGGAAGCAATCCACCCCACCTGACATAACAAGCTAGACCTTAAAATCCATGTCCCCTGACACTAAGATTAGATCTCCTTTCAAAGGGTTATAGATTTATTTATGGAGAACTTGGTTTGATTATCTGTAGATGGGGAAGAAAAATCTAATACTTCTCCTAAGTAAGTTAAGAAAATTAATGCGATAATTAAGGGTAAATTCTCCCCCGGGTGTAGGAGAGCTTGTTTGAGATATGCCTTAACTCCTTTAGGTGACTAGGGACTCAGCAATTAGACGATGGTGTCAGGGCACTGATAATGAGCTTATGGATGAGCGAGATGATCCCCCTCCCCAAAGTCTAACGTGTTCAGGCACCTTGCAGAGTCTGCCCCATTTCTGCAGTGCTTTGAACTTCCTTGAACAAAGACGCAGTTATGCTGTGCGGAATCTTCCAAATAAGTGTGGGCCCAGATGTCAAGTCCCAGTGAATGGACAAGGAACAAACCACAAAGCCTGTTCTTTTTCTTTTCTAGAGTGACCCTGGGGTCTTCTCTGTGTTTGCTTTTCGACGTTGATTGACATATGTGCACTTTGGGACACCGGAGGTCTCCTTCCCGCTGCAGACTGAGAGGGAGCCTGCCCTGGTGTTGCAAGAAGGAGGCTGAATGAGGCAGAGACGGTGAGTGGGGCTTGGACCTGGGCCTCGTCCCGGAGGGGTGAGGGTGGGGGAGATTCCTGACTCTCGCTCCTTTGATGAGAGGAGCTTCTTTGCCTGGCCCCCAGAATCCTCTGGGGGGACATGTTCTTTTTTTCTCCCCAAAGTCGGCCGCAGAGCCAGACCTCTGTAAAGGCCCTCCTTTGCAAGGAGGCTGGTGTTGGGAGAGTGTTTACCCCTTTTTCTCCAGGAGATGCCATCAGCTGGCTTATCCTTGCCACTGTCACAATGGCTCACCGTAATGGAAAACTCGGGAAACAGCTTTGTTTGTAATCCGCGCACCCCCTTAGCCTGGCCTCCACAACCGGGAGCCTCCTGAGTGACAGCCCAGGCCTCTTGGGGGCAGTCTGAGGACCCCTCCTCCGGGCGGGGCATCGGGCCCTGGCAGATGGACAGCTGTCCAGGGGACAGCAAGGGGCCGAGGCCGACACCGCTGAAGCCACACCCCATGTCCAGGGTTTGCGTTGTTCCATCTGGGTTAGCATTTCCTCCTGCTCCCAGCATCTCCTGTTTTAATATCAAGCCAGGGGAGGACCTGCAAGAAGTGAGGGCTACAACTCTAACCAAGAAGTCACTGACAATGGACCCCCTGGAGCTACAGGCAGGCTGGGGAGTCTTCCCGGGGGTCTGAACAGAGAAGAGTGTTCTTACTCTTGACTTTGGGCCTCACTGCAATTTCTTTCTCACGCCAGCTCTCCTTCCAAATGTCTTCATTTCTCCCAAAGAGAGTTGGAGATGGGGCTGGGAGGTTGTAGGCAGGAGGTTGCAAGGTGGGAGCACAAATGTGAATGACACGGATTTGGGATCTGGACAAAATCCAGCTCTGCTCCTCTGTGACCACAGGAAAACTTCCAATTGCTCTAGGCCTGTGGGTGTTGATTTATACAATGGGGTTAATAATAAATATCTTGTTGTAAAGATTAAAGTTTAAACATAATAAAGAGCCTTGCACAGTGCCGAGCATATAGTAGATGTTCAGTAAATGAAAGTTACTATGACATATCCTACCAACAGCAGCTCAGATATACTTGTCTATTAGGGTAGTTTCTGTGTGGGCCCATTAGGGCCACCACTTGCTTAGAACAGTGCCCGCCTTTAGGGACCACCTGGGAAACCCATCTGACAGGCGGCTCTTTCGCCCGTTGTAACTGAACGTGGAGCCTGAGTATAGTGACCGACAGTGGCGGGGAGCGGCCCGTTCTTTCGTTATAGTGTATTTGGAGGACCTTGTTTGCAAAAGTGCTATACCAGGTGATTTTAATGAGCATGTAAAGATATGCAAAACAGTGTGGGAACAGGTCCTCCAGTTTGTGACAGAACTGGGAATTAGTCCAGCTTTGTGTCACCATATCCCCTCTCATGGCACTTTTTCATGTGCCCTCCCTACTTTCTGTCGGTGTTCCCCCCAAGCCCTCCCCACAGCCCCCCCTGGGGACAAACACTCTGGTTGCCTAAGCAGGTCCCTGCCTAAGGAACCTGGGAGCCCCTCCCCCAACAGCCACCTGCTGGCAGCTGGAGTCCCGCCTTGCTGTGTCCCACCTGATGCAGAGCAGACTTGTCCCACCTTCGCACGTCTGGGCATGTTAATCTAATAAGCAAACCCTAGTAGTGGTTCAGAGCTTTATTTTTACAACATGTCCATTTGCGTTGTGTCATTTCCCTTTCATGACCAGTCTGTGCTGGCAGAAAGGCTGGTGTCATTCCTGCTTGACTGATGAATAAACTGGGGCTCAAAGGCTGTTTCTCCAAGGTTCACAGAGTTAATTAGCCACAGAGGCCGCAGGAGAACTCAGAGGCCGCGAGTGGCGGGCTGTTCTCTCTGCTGCGACAGCACACTGCCTCCTCGGGTCCGAGGCACCCACGCATCGTGAGGGCGGAGGACTTGCACAGACGCAGGGAAACCTTTAAAGAAGAGAGCAGAGGACACCCAAGAGTAGGGACAGAACGGCTTTTTGGGGAGTTCTGAGAGAAGGCGAGCTGATCTGGGTTTCTTCGGAGGATCATACTCATCATCGTTATAATAATCAACATTTTGGCTGTGCCCCATGGCCAGGCCATTTGCGCTATACTCGGCGTGCCTGTTCCTTTTAATCCTCCTTACAACAACCCAGTGAAATAGGGCCCATCGTTACCCACATTTTCCTGGTGACAGAAATACAGAAACACTAGGAACGTGCTCAAAGCGCCATATCTAAGCAAGTGCAGCACCTGAATTCAAATCCCACAGCCCCGCCATGGGCCCTGCACAGCTGACCATTTGGGCTTGGGCTGCAACGCAAGTGGCTTGTTTCAAGTCTCCCTGGAATCTGCACTACTTTCTGAGCAAGCCTCCAGCAGCTTCCAGGTGAGGCTCTGATTTTGCCCCTCCATTTAGGAAGCCTCATAAAAGGAAGTCCTCCATTTAGTGGCCCTCCTTCCCTCTGGCTCTTGTCCTTTTGTTCCGAGGAGGCCACAGCCATCTGGAGCTGCCCCAGGCATCTGCTCCCCAGCTCCGGAGAAGCACCTTCCTGCACACAGACTCATCTCTCCCCCTCTCCGCTCCCCACCCCCGGTGCTTCAGCACCGGGTCCTCACTGGCTCAACACCTGCCCTCTGGAATATTGGGGGCAATCTGAGGTGAGGACCAGTGTCCCCAGGCCTCCAATTTCCTGAGTGGATCCATTTGGTTAATTACACTCCCACTCCTAAGCCCTCCTGCCTGTTGGTGAGAATATGGGCCTCTCTTCTCCAGGAACATCACAACAGGCCATCACGGGCAACATGGGCTCAGGACACACAGCTGTGGGTCGGTGGGGGGCAGGCCCTTGGAGCTGCATTAGGAATGGTCTGTATTGCTTCCCACCCCCCGCCCAGGCCCCTGTGGCAGCACCTGTGCTTGGCCCCCTCCTCCGGGCAGCGCTAAGAGCTGCAGGACTAGGGAAGGGGATGCGGGTGGCAGCCATGAAATCTATTCCCCTTAAGAGCTGGCGTTATCCCCTCGTTTCCGCTGAAGTGATTCACTGCTCTCAGCCTTTCCTGCTGCCCCAGTAAACCCATCTTTTTACTGGAGGCTGCGGTCTTGGGTTCGGGACAGCATGTCACAACTCTGAGTTTCGGTTTCTCATGAGAGGACCACAGACGGTAGTAAAGGGAGGCCCGTCTGCATGCTCACTCAGGGCATATGACACAAAGCCGTCCTCTGCACCGTGGGAGCCGACATTGTCTGGTGTAAGCATCGGCGCTGCCAGCACTTCGCACCAGACTCCTAGACAAATGGTGCATCTTATAATGCAGGAAACAACCTTCCCCTGCCTGTTCCACCTCCCCTCCTCCAGGCTCCTGTATTTTCACATCTCCTCCAGCCTGGAGCAGCCTGCCAGGATGGCAGTTGGATCCAGACCGAGGTCTGTGTTGGATGTAAATGCAGAGGGCTGGAGGGAGGAGAGGAGGAACAGATGCTGCTCCCTCCTGCTGTCTTAGTCCTCTCCTCCCTGTGCCCCCTTATCATGTCAGAGAGGAATTTAAAAATGCAACTGGGGATTTGCTCTCCTGGAACTATCAGCAACTAGACCAATATTGCTGGCAGGATAGATGTCAGCTCTGAAGAACTGACCCAGTTTCCTCTACAGGGCCAACTCCAGCCAAGTGCATTCGATGTCATGGGTCATGGGGCATCTGTGGAAGAAGCCGGCATGAATAAGGGGTGAGGGTCTTCAGGAGTGCAGAGGGCTTTGGTTCAGTAGACCCTGCCAGAAGCAGGGGAGAGGGGAGCCCAGTGCTGCTTTGGCTGGTCGGGGATCTTGCAGGAGACTCCCTTTCTCTATGGTGCCTCTGCAGATAACTACACGTTGGCTCTAAGAGTAAATAATAACTCCTTGGTCACAGAGCCAGCATGTGGTTGTTTGCACAGACATTGTATACTTTGTAGATCTACAAAGTGGACTTGGAGATTTGAAAGCCAATCTTGTCCAAAGCCATTTAGCAAAGCAATACAGTGGCTGTAACTTGGGGGAAAGGAGAAAGGGCCAGTGGTTTCTGATGCCAAGTTTGTTTCAGGTCTTGTGTTAGATGATACACACACACACACACACACACACACACACCCATTCATTAAAATGAATTAATTCAAAAACTAAAATGCATTAGCATTTAATTTGTTTAATTAGTAATTGTCACAGCCACTTTGTAGTAAGTATATCTATCCTACTCACAGACCAGAAAACTGAGGCTCTAAGAGAGTAAACAAATTGCTGAAAACTACATGGCAGGTAAACGGCTAAAGAGGAGTTAGAGCTCAGGCATGTGGCTCCACGTCCATGCCCTTTACGTGATCCAGAGGGATTGTGCATCACTTCCTCTTGAAGCTACATCTCTGAATCCATGTCTATGTGCTTCCCCTGGCCTGTGCAGTTTCCTCGCTAGTTTGTTGTTCACCGTTGCTGAGCCCAGCTGTGTTCTGCTTTGCTTTGGCAGTTGCTCCTGTGAAGGGCAGAGAAAAAAGGTAGAAGACATTTTCAGGAAGATCATAGTCTGGTTAAGGGGTGAAGGTCATCTCTCTTTTCCCCACCCCAAGCTTCTCCTGTTGTCTTGCCCTTTATTATTTTTTTTCCTGCTTTAGTTCAGTATGTGGTTTTCAAATGACTTTAGAACCTTAGTCTGTTGAAACCAGGTTTGGAATCCCACAAATAGAGCTTGGAGTAAGCAGCTTAACATGAGCGACATAGTGAGCAGATGGACAGTGGCCTAGACTCTATTCTAAATGGACACCCCATTCAGGGAGCCGGGGAACCCCTTGGTCAGTGCCTGGGGCGAGGAAGCTGCGTTTGACAGAAAGATGGCTGGGGATTTGTACAGGTGTCTTTCTTTAGGAAAGATACTGAGGGACAGAGATTGTGGTTTCAGGCTGTTCCTTCTGCGGCATTCTGAAATGTACAGTTTGTCACTTACTCAAGATGGTGTGCAAGAACTTAGCCCTAGGTCTTTTA